GAGTTCAGTAACCCGTGTAATCAATAACATGTCAGCACACAGTAATCAAACCCAGGTCTATATGAACATCCATGTACACTTCATCAGCAAAGTGACTACAGATGAACTATTGATCATCTTCCCAACTGATAACGGTTATTGTCGGGCCAAACCTCCATTGTGCTAGTCATAAATTGATATCATGTCCCCTGAAGAGGTTCCATATTCTTTGCAAACGACCCCCTAGGTATGAACCAGCCTTCTCCTAATGTATTTACATTATCGTGGGAGTGATTGGAAGCTCATGACCACCAAAAATCTTGCCCAGAATGTTACAGCACAAAGGCTCTGAATAAATTAACTCTTGGGCATGTCATCTGGAACAAATAATTATGCATTGTTATTTTCAACCCCTTAATGCATGCCTGGCTAAGTTCTGGAACTAATTTGAGAAATTCAATTTGCCTTTTTTTGGTAATTGGGATCAAAATGTGATTACTGTTTGGAGTAGAGCATCCAAACTTTGTGGAAGTCACAAGGACACACAGCTCATCCCAATTTTCAATAAATGAGCAATAGGCTCACATGAATTCTGAAATTTTGCACATGAAAGATGCAGCATAGCTGATCAAAATCGATTCACTTCTATAATTATGTTCCACTCTGCTCAATCAAATCAAAATATGATCACCAAGATGTTGAAATGGAAAATTAAAAAAGCATTTATTGTATCTTTTTTTAAAATTTCTCAGTCATATGCTTCTTTATAATGCTATGCCCCAGAGTATTTCTCACAGCGAAGTTGATTAGTCTGGGTTTGATTGAAAGGAAATTTAAGGAAAGTTCCAGTGGTGGAGAGTTCAACAGACTGTTTATATGCCAGGTGCATCAGGGCAGTAAATAATTGAACCAGGGTGCCGTTGTACAACCATAACACTGCAAGTTACGATGACCTTAGCTCTAAGATTGATCTGTAAAATGGCACCCAGGACCAGACAAGCAAGTGGCTGATATGAGAAATGTCCCATTGCCATTGAAATATGAAGATATGCAATCAGCTAAATCGCCAGGACGATCGAGTTAGTTGCCTCTTACAAGAAGTATAGATTGCTAGGGACATATTCGAACCTATAATTCCCCTGGAATATCAACGCTTCAAAGATGGTGCAGGTTAAGATGAAAGACCATTTCAGTTCATATATAACAGACATAGGCACCTTCATGGATTCACCAAATAATCAGAGTCCCAATGTCTAATAAATATATTTAATCATCACCAGCAGACGCAGAAACTAACTCATTTCAGGAACAGCTCTTTATAATGATATACCTCGGAAAACTTTCAAAAATTACTTCCTTTCATCGTGTCTTAATTACGTCTAAATAATTGGGCCTTTCATTTGCACAATAAGAATGCTCTTTTCTAAACCTGCAGTAAGTTTGTGTAAATTGATGAGCAAATCAAGATCCCCATCCTTGAATCATGAGCGTCCCCACTGCCGCACAAATGTCCATTTGCAATGAGATTCTCATCCACATCCAGTAACAAATGGCTGATTAAGGACACACCAGAATATCAAAAGAGAACCACTTCTCTCCATGAAGGGACCAGTCTTCCCCAAGCTGTAGGGACTAACGAGTGTTTTCATCTATAATTAAAACAATTTATAACTTCCTGCACAATGCCTCTTGACCAGTGCATTCAGTGGTCAACAGTTTGACCAATCAAATGTGATTGTCAGGACGATTGTCTGGACTACACCGACCAGCCACACACCCAAAGACAAAGACAACTTGGTGGCTGGGCAAACGTTAAACCACCAGCAGTGGTATAAGTTATTTGGCATTTTTCTAAACATTCACCAAAACTATGGCTAACTGTGACACGGACTATCAGGTGAAATGGCTACAACATGAAGTAGAAAATTGTATCTGAAACTTGGTCCCCACTCATTTAAGATGATGAACCTTTATGTTCGCTCATACCAATATAAGTTATTTGGCATTTTTCTTTCCTAACATTTCACCAAAACTAACTGTGACATGGACTATCAGGTAAAATACCTACAACATGAAGGAGAAAATATTTATCTGAAACTGGTTCTCCTTTCATCTAAGATGATGAGCCTTTATGTTCGCAAATGAATTGCCGTCTGCCCTGGGCCTCCTTCCACAAAGTAGTCGTAGGTGATCGTAACTTGCATACTTTAGTGCCGATTTACGATCACCTCAGCTCTGCAAATGCTTTGTGGAGTGACTGAGTAAGGATTTTTGCTACTTTTAGCAATATCACAGAGGGGACACCAGATATAGGCTTCACACAATGTACCATGTGGAGAACTGAACCCTGTATGACAAGCAAACACCTTAACCAACCAGCTACAAAACAATCAAAGCTTTGTGGCACAGGGCTCAGAACTCTAATGCTTTGATCCAGTGACGGACCATGATACAACCACCCCACAAATACAAATCCACCCCATCCAACCCCAAATCAAATACATGTACCTTCATTTTACTAAAATACTTGCTCATATTGGCAATTGGAATCACACAAACCCTCACAATCCAACATCAACAGAAGATTTAAATTCCAAGCATGAACCTTCTTTAACGATTTCAAAAGTCTAATTGTAACCTGGGCCTAATTCACATTATTTCCTGGTTGCAAGGACTTCACAGTTTCAGAGTATAATGCATTACATGAATAGAACACTAAAGTCACCTTCCCTCGCCAAATTGAAACAATTAATTCCCTGTTCTCTTTGATATCATGAAAGTTGGAAAAAGAAAGGAAATCTTGCCAAATGAGTTATTAATGACACTCACGTCATTACATTCTCGTTCCACAATCAACTGAAAAATATATTTCATTTTCGCATTGTTCAAATGATACATGCACTTAGAACACACATCAGTTATGAGTGTAAAGAATTGCTGGAAGGATAAGATCATCCATAACTATTAGCACGATTCAGACATGCAGTAGTAAAGTTCAATCACTCTAGTGTCTCCAAAATGGCCTCCATTTAAAGATTTCTCACAAAACATCCTCCATTTTGAGACTTCACACAAAACACCATTGCACATCCTTTGAACTTAATCAATCAAAACTTTGATACTCCTCCCGACATGAATTCAATACAAACTGGTTCTTTGCAAGTACTGCTCTTCCTTCATGTAGTAAGGTATAATCCATTTCCTGTATTGATTGACAGCTCCACTACTTCAGAATGCTGTCGCTGGTGGTTATTTCACGTGTAGGAATGAGAAGCTAATTTCATCCACAACAAAACAAGACCATGATAGACCATGACAGTGCTCTCTTTGACCTGCTGGGTTAAAAAGTCTTGCTTGCTTGTTCATTTCAAAGAAAGAATTTTCAATAATTATTGTGAGGATCTTTTTTTGAGTGAAAGATTGCTTGAAAACCCGATCCCGTTAGTCGCCTCTAACAACAAGCATGGGTTACTGAAGGTTCATTCTAACCGGACCTTCACGGGTAAATCTGGACCAGACGATCCAATGATCAACAGCATGAGCATCGACCCACACAATTTGGATATGATGTTATGAGTCAACTAAGTCAGCAAGCCTGTTAGTCGCCTCTTATGACAAGCACGTGTTGCTGGACACCAATTCTAACCATGATCTTCACAGGTAGGTTGTACAAGTAACAATCCACTGCAATAGAATGGTCTACAATCAACAAAAAAGACAACATTTTGCCCGAACAATCTACAGTTTAGCCCAATCTTTCAAAGTAATCTGTCTTTAAATATTCTTTAAACAAGCACGTGTTATTCATGACCTTGCGTGAGAGAATGATATTTTAGTGAGGGAGTTTAGTTTTACGCTGCTTTTAGCAACATTCTAGCAATATCATGGCGAGAGGCACCAGAATGGGTTTCACACATTGTACCCATGTGGGGTATTGAACACGGGGCTTCGGTGTGACGAGCAAACGCTTTAACCACTAGGCTACCCCATCTTCCCTAATGATATTTTAAGTTCGTCATCAATTCAACCACATTACTGTAGCTGCCTGTGTGTAACCTAGTCTGAGCAATAAACCAGTCGTCAATAGCATGAGCCACAATCGACAATTAACTTCACACAGTCACTTTTATCCACATAATACCCTTTTCAGTCTATGATGACGACAATAAAGAGATAAATAATGAGAATATTTATAACACGCCCTTTCCAGGCTAGATATCCTGCTCAAAGCGCACAATCTGATCATTATTACCCCGGATAACCCGGATAACCCAAGCTGCTAGGAGGTTAATAGTCTCACGACTTATTTCACCGGGTACCCATTTTCTGCTGGGTGAACAGAAGCAATTATGAACAAACTCACTTGCTTAAGGTGAGATCACATGTATCCCGTGTGCTTCGTAGGTGGGACAGGATTGAAATCCTATACACTCTCAGGTGAGGTGAGGTGAGGTGAGGTGAGGTGAAATTGGGTTTAACGTCGTGCTTGATAATATTTCGCTCATATGACAACGTGCATGCGTGTGTATGTGTATGTGCGGCTGCTTGTACTAGCCCAGACTTAAGCTGGTTTTATAGTGCTAGCCCACTGAGATACCATGCCGCAGTGAAGCATGAATACCCCACTCAGACATATTATACTGACTCCGAGCCGACCAGTCCTTGTTGTACCCATTAATGCCGAACGCCAGGCAGGGACCAACAAGTACCATATTTTAACGTCTTTTGGTATGACACGGTCGGGGATCGAACCCACGACCTTCCACTCTCCGGGCCGACGCTCTAACCACTACACCACGGAGGCGGTCAGACACTCTCAGGAGTCAAGCTGTTACACACGGTCACCCATCCAAGGACTCCGTGCCCAACGTTGCTTAACTTCAACTGATTTGTAACCTGAGCTCTACGCACAGGACCACACACCACCACACCATAAAAAGAACACTCATTTGAAAATACTTACAGTGTGTTTCATCCTCTCCTGCAACTTAAAACCACTTTCAATTCAAAATTAAATTTACCTCTGGTTTCCACGAAGTTGTGTCCACCTCCAAAGTAGACCTTAGGATCGAGTGTCATGAAATACTGGCTTCCGTTGATGAGCTTGTGATGTCTTTCCCCATCCAGATACACCTCCACATCTCGCTTGGAATGGCTGATTGTCACGTTGTGCCACCTGAAACAGCAAAACACTGCATGCACACATCGTACAGGGAAATAAAACCTGGCACGGTTCGAGGGAATTGGTTTCTTTGTGCAGAAGATGTCCTTTTTTATACCTGTTTCTTTGACATCCATTTTTATTTAGTGTATTCTGAGTAGGTTGAACATGCTGTCCCTACAGAAACACTTGTATCTGACTTGCATGTTGTAGGTACATTCCCCTCGAAAAAAAACCCCTGGAAACATTCTTCTTGATGTTGATCTGATAGGAAAAAATAGAGGAAATTTATGGTGTATTCAGGATATATTTAAAGGCAAAACTTGAAAGTATTGTAGCAGACTGACTTCCTGAAAACAGATAAGATTTAACAAGAAACATTAATGGCATGTTCTGTCAAGCTAAAATGAAGAAAGATCTATTCCAGAGAATAGAAATGTAAAATAGTGCAGAAATATATTATATTGCCCTTGCATCTACCACATTCTCAACATTGCGCTGTTTTCCATATGTCAATTTCTTTCTGTTGAGAATGATAAATCAAAATATATATCACCCTTTTTCAAGGAAAAAGGAAGACTATTGACATTATGCATACAATACGACACAATACTTTATGTTTACCAACCCTAAGTGTCTACAAAGTGAAATGAAGTAAGACGTTGATCTGAATCATTCTTAAAAGATGAGGCCAAAACCATCCGTTGAGGGAATGAAGAAAAATTCCCAATAAATCAACAAAACTTAGAATTACATTGTAAATTTGCAAACATACTTTACAGAAATAAATATTTTTTAAATAGAATATTTACTGATCACATGTTCAGTAATGTTCCGACCAACCTATTTTCAATTATATAAATCATTGACAGGAACATCCCTAAAGAACATTTACAAAAATCAGTATTATTGCTCTTCAACACAAACCAAAGCACTTATTGCCATCTCAGATATTTTCAAGAGAAATGGAGGTGACATCTGTAAATATAGCGACAGAAGACCTGCATGTTGAAAAATTACTCTGTAAATGTCATATTATCAACTTACATCTTGTTCTTGTTCAAAATATCTCTGAAAGGTCAAAGCTGAAAACTCTTCTCCAATATGTGAAGATCTAAATGAAGCTATTATTGTATGTACCATTTCTATTAAGGTACTCTCAACAAAAATCAGGTTCTTCGAGATAAACTTTTCAACATATTGATTTCAGGTAACATACATACTATTTCAACTGTGACATGTGAAATAATGTTTTTGAGATGCTGTTTCATAATCATAATTGAAAGTCATAAAAATTTATTGATGTTTAAAGTTAATCACCACAGCTTGCATAATCAGCATTTTCACATAATTAAACAATCCAAAGTGACAAACAATCACGTTACTGTACGAGATGATCACAGCAATACAGGAAGTAACAATCCGCACATGCAGAAACATACTCCACATGAACAAACACTGTCTGTATCAGTAACATGTTTGTGTGACATGTTACAAGCTGAGAAGATTGGGTTGACGAACAGATTTCAACTGATTAATTCTTTCAGTGCAACATTTCGACACATATGCTAATACCTTTATCAAGTAAACGATAGTAGACTTAAAGATTTCAACTCATTAACTTCTTTCTTTCAGAGTGAAAATACAGATTTCTATACAGATGCCAATATCTAGCAATTAACATCACCTGATTGCCAAGGTAAGAGCTTCTGCATCTATCACTTTGAACGACTGACTGAGTATGGTTTTACGCCAGTTTTAGCAATATTCCAGCAATATCACGGCGTGGGACACCAGAAATGGGCTTCAAAAATAGTACCCATGTGGGGAATCGAACCCGGGCCTTCGGCGTGACGAGCCAACGCTTTAACCACTAGGCTACCTCACCGCCCCACACTTTGAACGAATAAACCCGTTGAAATCCATAATATCCCTGGTAGGATAAAAGTACCAATACATGCATATGCATCAAAGTTTCGCACCGAAAGAAAAAGAAGTTTAAATCTATGTCAACTCTGTCTTCACTGTACCAAAACATGAAACGTAAAACTGCATCCCAGCCTCGTACAAAAACCCTCCTCCCCATCTAGAGATGAAACCAACTAGGAACAATCCCTGAACACCAGAATCGGGAAGGAAGCATGTACGTGATCCCCAAGGAATCACAGACACGATCCTGCTCAGTAAGAACTGTTGAATAAAGATTAGAGAAATAATCCATTACCCTCGGGGGGGAAAATAAAATCATACGTGTGGGGAAATTTGTACACCATCCCTGGTAATCATGGATATTGCCTTGCTGGCCTTCCATGAGGGGTAGGTAAATATAATTATTCTACTCAACATTTTATAGGGATATTTGTCCAGGTGGGGAAAAATCTGATTGGTTGTTTGGATGCATTGTCATACAAATAGGACATGATTTGGGCTGGAACTGACACATGTTAAGGTTCATTTCTCAGTGAACACAAGTACACATTTCATACATTGTTGTCTTGTGACTTGATTGAATGGGAGGTAGTACAGTAGCCTTATCAAAAGTTGAGTAGTAGTTTCAAATCATGAATCTGAGACAAGTAATTTTGTCTTCATCTTGGTAAGAGAAGACAACAGAAGTCTTTGGGGAACAAAGATTAAGTTCCGCCCATTCTGTGTCTCCAACATCTGCTGTGTGAGACCTATTGTGATGCTGTGAAAATCCTCCAAAACTTTGCAGGATCCCATGCTACATTTTGTGTAATAGTGCTAAAATGAAGCATCACATCCAGCCTGGATTGCATCCTAATCGCATAATCGCATTCTCAAACATCCAGTCAGATTTATTCCCCATCTGGAAACTCAGAATATCCCAAGCAAAAATTGAGTGATATAATTAGGGAAGGAACAACTAGACTATACTTAATATTGACTCAACTGACATGTATTTGTTCTCTGAAGGATAGAAGAATATGGCTCATATGAGCTCAATGGACAGAATCTTTCAAAGGAGAGCATATTTCCCACTAGAGTAAATCACTGGGATGTTTCTGAAAACATATCTGGATTGTTCGGGTTAATTTTAGTCGATCAGTTTCCATCATCATTGGCAGATAATTAATCTTCTGGGCCTATATTTTCGAAGCTCTCTTAGCGCTAAGATAGTTGTAAGTGCCATACATTAACAATAACTTATGACTATCTTAGCGCTAACAGAGCTTCGAAAATCTAGGCCCAGGGTACTTTCTGATTGGTGGCATTCAATGAAGGGAGTCAGTATGTGGCATTCTAGTTGGGTTGAATGGAGATTGCACACACCAATGTAAAGATTCAAACCTGTCTCATGTGCAGCAAATGCACAACCTGTTGGGCTACCTACCCAACCCTACTTGCAACCCAGAGTTGAAAACTATTTTAGCTGAATAATTATGGAACTACCAGAACCTAGCTGATCAAACTATTCAAGGACTGATGCATGGACATGTCCCTGAAACATACTCGGGGAATCGGGACTCGAACCCACATTCATTCTGTGCTGTCAAAGGGCCACAGCTCTGTACAGCGAACTGCAGCATCTTTAGCAAGTAGCCTACCTGGGTTTCAGAAGTTTACGACCTTGATGGACATGGCTATGATGCTGAAAAACCTAGCAACATAACTGGGCACCACTGGATTCAAATCCACAGTCATTCTATGTTGCCCCAGGGTTAAACTATACTGGACAAAAATAGTTAGGGATATATGAAAATTTTGAAATTATGAATAATGATCTATTTATTCATTGACACACTGATAAAATATCAGTCATAAAAATACCAATATCCCTAACTTATTTTGTCCAGTATATGTACAGCAAGCTGTGTCATCTTAATCCACTGGGCCACCTGTCTCATCAACCATTCAAGCAAATTCCAAATCTACAGAATTCTCCAAACTGTCACCCTTGGTGAGAAAATACAGGTACCAGTTGCACCAGACGTCCAGGAACAATACAAATATTTGAAAGTCTAGATATTCATATATTCTTGTTTACTTTGTTTAATCTACCTGACCTGCTTGGAAATATGCATCCATCTTGCAGAAAACATGCAGTGACCTTAACATTATTTTTAAAAATCAAATATTCCATTACATAAACAAAAATGATTGTTAAGATCAATAGAATAAATTCATGAGCATGTTAATTTAAGTATTCATGCAAATAGCTTTCATCATAATGTGTGCAAGTATTTCATGATACAATATAAACAGACTCAATCCACAGAGAATATACTCAGGAATTTATATTAATTCAGAATCATGAACCAGGCTTGACAAAGAATTTGCCAGCTGACTGAATAAAAAGGCAAATCATAGCACCATCGTATAGTGTTTGTCTAACATATATATGCCATTATCTTCTATCATTCAATGGCTTAAAGCTTATGTTTAAGCTGGATATATTGCGGTTCGGCCTGCCTTGAACCAACAAAGTATGTGAGAGCAAACCAGTGCTTTTTAGAATGGTGATCGCTAATTTTGCAGTCACCAATTTCATGCAAGGATAACCGTTTAATTAAGCATTGAATTCCACCAAGGAAATATTTTATTTTTGTGTGTCAATATTGATAACTTCTATGTAAGATGCAGACAATAACTTTGGTCAGAAAATTCAACGGACGTCTTCTAATAGCTTAACAATAAATATAATCTATACAACCAATTTTCTTAAGCAGTTCTTAGAAGATTCCCCTGCTTGTGGAAAACATCTCAAAAGATGTTGAAGAATGTTGAGGGTCAAAGTACACAATATTTCAGATACTTCGAAGTAATATAGTTTTACACTTCTTTTTGCATTATCCAAGCAGTATCACACCTGTGACAACAGAAGTGGATTTCACATGTTGTTGGGGAGCAGAACCTGGACCTTTGGTGTGATGTGCAAATGGTTAAACCACTAGGCTACCCAACTGCCCCAATAGATTACAACCTGTATGTAAAGGCCCTAGTTGCAAGAACAAGAAACACCATCTTCCTGAAGGAGTTCAATCACTCTCACA